GTGCATTGCCTGAAAGAAGATATTTCAGAAATTACACCAAAAAATGTCTCTCCATATACTGGTTGTATGTAAGGCAATCAGACTGCAAAGAACTGGAAAGACTGAGTCAAGAGTGTCTGTCACTCCCTGTGGCACGTGGTACCTGCAGGAATGTTTGAGTCTGGGTCTGGTTCTTGGTAGAGTGGTGCAAGAGTGCCATATATGAAAATAATCATTAGAAAGAAGTCTGAGAGGAATGTGGGGGAAGAATTGGCCAGTAAGGGGCTGCATCTCATATTTAATTTCTGCCGACACTGACAATGTGTGTGTAATTTCAGATAAGACAGAAGAGATCCAGCTAATAAGAAATTCTTGGCACTTCAGTCTACCTTCCTTGACTGGAAGATGGAGATTTGGCAGCAGTTATGGGACACATCTGCTCAGAGCAATGCAGCTCATTAGAAAGGTCTGGGGAGGAATGAGTTTGGGGAGCCAAGGAAGGACATCTGCCCTCACGTGCCGTGTGTCAAAATTCTGGCATGTAACTCAAATGCAAGGCAGCCACTGAAACTGGTGCCTCTGTTTATGATGAGACACCTTCAGAATCTGATGGCCACCTTTGTGTGGTGATCAGACCCCTCTGAAACATTTTTAGGGGATCAGGATTTCTGGATACACTCAAATATTTTGCTGTTATTTCCACAGAGTTAGTCTTTGTGTGCAAGTGCTGAAACAGTGCCACTGAATTTCACTGTCTGTGTATTTCAGAGGGTATTTTTAATCACAATGGTGTGATTAAATTAATGTAGGCTAGTACAACAAATCAGAATTAATAGTAAAAGTAATTTCTAACCCATGTTGTAGGCTTTTGAGGTGTAGCTCCTTTTAGAAATGGTAATTTTTTCTGGGCCTGTTTCTATGTCTTAAGAGTAAAACAGATTTTAGTGGGCAGGAGGAAGAGTCTGGCTTTTGCAGCTGCCTCTGACAATGTGTAAGTGAACACATCCAGTGGTTTTATAAATGTCAGCCTGAAAATTATCAAGGCCATAAATCCTTTTTGGTAGCAGTGGCATTCACATAGGTAGGAAAAAGAGAATCAAAACACTCATTGAGAATCATGTTCTCCAAAGGAATCTCAGAAACTGTTTCAAGTGCAGCAATATATAAATTACTTTATGGCTTTCACAGAAGGATAAGTGCATCAAACTGTAAAAGCAACATTTTTCTTGCCCTCATTTCAATTTTAGATTGAAGGTGGTTAATGAATTTCATAGCTTGGATGGAGGTCATCTGGAAATAGCTTTGTGTATTCCTTCCTCTAAAGAATTGCTAATATGTATAGACAAAGAACACTCAGCTCATTGGAGAATCTTACCTGCAGTATTTGAGTGGCAGAACCAAGAATAAGAGATGTGCTTCATATTTCTATTGTTTAACTCCAGTGTTTTCTTTCTGGTCAAGTGAACAAATTTTAAATTGAATTGAGACAAACCCAATTTACCTTAGTATATCCTTTCCAGTATCACACAACAGCAAATAAAAGAATGTTTTGGAAGTGCTAAAAATTTATGATTTTCCATAATACCTGCTGGCTGTTAATTAAATCACTCAGAGTAAGCAAAGCTCATATTAACTATTGGTTTTGTGAGCTGGAGATTTATGGAGTATAGTATTTGAAGCAAATAGCACTAGAAAAAGGAGTTTAAGATCAAATGATGTGAGTAACCCAAGGCAGAGGGGAGTCCTCAGGGACAGCCAGATTTTCTTTACAAGTAATGGGCAGAATTAAAGGGAAGAGGGTGAAGCCCATTATTCTGAATTCTATATGCTATATGATGCTATGTTAATAGCATTAATATCTCCTATTAATGCTAGAGTATTGAACTTAATTTGAATTAATCAGGTGAGATGAAGGGAATAACTATAGATTTGCCTTGGAAATGGAAAAGCAGATGCAGTGGCTCAGAACAAAGCTAATCCTCTAGAGTTCTGAACATCACTTGGCCCCAAGCTTTTCTAGAGCCATAAAAAAAAAAAGGAAAAAGCTCTGGGATGACACCACTGCCAGCCTGTATTTTCACATATTGCTTATGCTTCCAGTGTTGCAAGACCCTTGTGGCAGCTGGGAGAGGTTTGTGTTCCTCAGCACAGCAACGTGGGCGTGCTCTGTTTGTGCAAGGGCTGATGATGAGACATGTTCTTTCTGGAAGTTTTTATATCCTTGATATTTGAAGATAAAGATCATTGGCTCTGTTTTGTCCTGGAAATTTGCCACAGCAATAGATTTGGGCATGCTATCAACTTCTGTTCCCTAATTACTGGAAACAGAGCAACTTAAAGCAGCTTGGAGACTACTTGAAATGAGAAAAGTCCATGATATTGTGTAATGACAAAAGGAGAATAAGAAAGCCCCAGGTTTTGTAGAGACTCCACCCAGATGGATTTACTGATAGGTCAGTTGTAGGTCAATTGTTCAGTGGCAACCCCAACTCCAGTCAGGTTTGGTTATGGAAGAATAACTCAAATAAATGTTGGGTATGCACAAAGAATTTTGGTTTTGTTTCTGTCCCAGCAGCCTCTCAAACAACTGTTAGACTCAGGGGCTTCACAAAATACTCTGACTGCAATAAAGTCTCAGAAAAATTCCCTTCCAAAGTTTTTTTATTTTTTTGATCTTCTGTGTAACAGACAGATATTTGAGGATTGGAATATGTTGTAGGAAAAAAAAAAAAACAAAGATGAAAGATCAGAAGATCTTGGAAGGCTTATTCCTGCAAATTTCTGGTTATTTTGCAAGGATTTTATCAATGTATTGTCGTGGATTACAGTAGCATGAAAAAAGTCTAAAAAGTCACAGAATAAGATAGGATCAAAAGTAGGAAAAGAGAAACTGAACGTCTGAGGTCTCTGTCTATTATTCCTATTTAGTTAATTTCTATTATTGTTGCTGTTTTAGTTCTGGGCTCACAAACATTTAGGAGGGGAATTTTGATAGGCTGTGATTTTGGAAAGAGGAGAAACTACTGTGCTATGCAGTAAGTATTTTATTTTTGTTATCAGAGAATTCTGACAAAAACGGCCCCTGTCCCTTCAGCACACCTGCACATATGCCTTTAGGACAAACGTGTTTTCTTCCAAAATTATTTTTCTGCTACATATAAAGTACACAAAGATAATGTAAGTGGATCAGATAGTTGGAATGCTAATTATTGCTGCCCATTTTTCCATAAAAGGCTTAAGAGGTTTGTTTGTGTAGTTGTTTTACGTTACCCCATTGTCCAAAGAGTGCCATAAGAGAGCAAAGTACCTGGGCTGAAAGCTTCATAATGGCTTTCTTATCTATTTACCTTTGGCGTAATTTTTGTAGTGAATACATGTTTAAGGAGTATACAATTAAATTTTTATTGTAATTCTGAAGGACTTGGCAAAATATTTAAATAATGTAAAAGATGGAATGAAAATGATATGTTCTTTAAATCCCTGGAGAAATGAGGCATGTTTGGTTTTAAAAAGCACTACCTTTCCACGTGACAGCCAAACATATGGAGAGCTGTGTCTCACTTGACATTTTGAAGATTAAATTTAAATTGTTCTGAAAGGATGGCTTACCTTGTTTTAAAGATGTGGAAGAATTGCCTGTCCAGAGCTTTGTCAAAGGCAGATGTTCTCATGAAATATCAAACCCTTGCATTATTTGGACTAGCACCATTAATATGAAATGATAGTATCCAAAGATTTCATACGAGGAAGAATTTTAAATTTTACATATAGAAAGAAACAAAGAGGAAGATTATTTGCCACCAGTAACACACAGCTGCTGCAGTGTGGATTTTTTCACCTTTATTTCTTGTCTTGTTCTGTCTAGAAATATATTAGCAATGAAGGGCAGTGTTGATGTCTACTATACCGAAGAATAAAAATTAACTCAAGAAATAGCATATGACAAGAATGAAAACAGAGCAACACAAGGGGAATAAATTAATGCAATGTTCTGGTTTTAGCTGAAAAAGTTGGGTGAGAAAATGCATTTTTTTAAGTGGTCTAATCAGCTGTACAACACTTGTAGCACAAGTCAGCAGCCTAAATGAGCTGTCAGTCAGAATGCTGTTGAAATCTATAGCTTAAAATGAAACAAAATGAAACTTGTATTTTTGAAAGAATATGATTTATTATGTTTGATGTTAATAACATTTGATGTTCATTACATCTGTTGTTCATAAAAACATCAAATTAGTTTTTAGAATTGCAAAAGAGGCACAGCCAAGTATGGAGGCAGGAGAGGATGGGCTTTAAAGAAATCTTGAGTCCAACAGGACCTTGTTTCCTTCCTGTGAGGAGTTATGCCTTACATGGCACTGATCACACTGCTTGTGCCATAAAACCCAGTTCCTGCCCCTGCTGCACAGGTTTTTGTGATCAAAATATTTACATTTATTTTGCCTCAGTTCCTGACTGTAAGAAAGGCAAAATAATAGAGTCTCCTTAATTTGTGTAACTCTGGGGCAGAGAGCCATGTATGGTTTATGGAGAATGATGTTCAAGATGTTGTAATTACCAGTTACAGATATTTCCAAACTGTGTAGAAGTACCTGGGGCTTTTTTATATCTCCAGGGGAGCACAGGAGAGGGAAACCCCTTCTTGCTCAAGAAGGGAATCTTGCCAAGAAGTTTCCTTAAGGGGTAAAGAAGGTTGAATTTCCTGCTCAAGATGGTTTCTGGTCCCACCCTGCTCATGGGGAGATGATAAATAAAGGGTACTGAAGAGTGACTCTGAGAAGGCAGATACCTGATTTATCAAACATCCTGAGCAAGTTCCTTCAGCAAACTTCACAGGAAGTGACAGGGTTCTGACATCTCAAAAGTATTGCTGCATAATTTGAAACAGAGCTGTTCATCAGCCACATTCAGCCTTGTGTAACACACCAACACCTTTCGGTGAACCTCACTGGAAGCATTCTGGAATAGCTGGTTGTCAGGATGGGCCACAACAGAGTTGCCCAACTTAATTTCTGCACCCAAATGATAAACTTTACATCAGATGCAAAAATCTGTTGCATGCCTCAGACAACAGCTGGTAATTAAAAAATGAAAGAATTTTTTGTGGGTAGCCTGCATTGAAACAAAGGAACCTTAGCTTATTTTGGCTGATGCTGATAACTGTTAGTGGTCTGGTTTTGCTAATCAGTACAATCAAAATGCTAACAAATTTGGAGTGGCAATGCTAATCCAAATGATGTAGCTCAAATCTGACTTCAGCATTGTCACAAAGGCAAAGTAAAGGTGGAAAATTAAGTTTCACTGGCAAAGAGAAAATAGGGTTTTTTATTGAAGGCTGCCAGAAAATTCAAGTTCCTCAGTAGTACAATAGTTTTGATAAAGGAAATGCATGTTTCAGGTATAGAAAAGAGTCCAGCTGGTTATTAGTAACATATGTGTTTTCTGTCATTGTAACCATAGTTCACAGGAGTGTAGCATGGAGAAAAGGTGACAGCACTAACTTGGAAATTGAGCTTTTATGGAGGGCTGGACAAATTTCTCCAAGTCTGTTGAGGGAGCCTTGTTAGTCCTTTGCTGCTGCCTGTGGTGTCCTGTTCCAGCTGGTGAGGGTTGCTGCAGGGCTCCAGGCGTTCCTGGCCCTCAGCACAGAGCCAGGGCTTGCCACATGCTGGGCTGCACAGCTCCACACCCACAGAACACAGACCTGGGAAGGGGGAAGAGTTTAAGGAAATATTTGTCAGTAAAATGGGACATTTTCATTGCAGCTAGCCAACATAATCAATATAAACCCTGGTTTTATTTCATGTTAGGCCAATTCCAGTAGATTAAAAACATAGAGTGTGTGTTATCAATTTATTTTTTTAAGACTTACTAGTTCATGACTAATTATTAACTTTTAGGATGTGTTTGCCTTTTTGATCAAGCTCCCTTAGGATTTTCATCTGGGACACGAGCGTGCTTTTGAAGGGAATTGCTCCCTCCATTTTTCTCACTTACATGACAGAATGGAGTGGATGCATAAACTGGATTAATTTTGGTTAAAACTAAACAAGAGGTATGTTCCAAAAATGTGTCTAATGTCCTGCAGATGTCTGTGGCTGCCAGGCCCATTGGCTCAGCTGGAGTCAGCATGAAGCACCCTGCCCAGGCAGGTAGTGTTGAACTTTGCAGAGCTGTTTCTGTGTACTGTGCTATGTGCCACTGGAGAGCTGGGGACATGAAAATGCAATTTAGGAGGAAAACTTCTACCTTTACATCATTAGATTATGTACTTACACATTCCCATTTTCACCAGATATTATTCGGACTTCTTCAGCTCCCATGCAGCCTCTGTCTGCATGACCTACTTGCTTTTTCCAGAGAAACTCAACTTTTGAAATGTTCCCAGGAATTTCTGTATCAATGTAGTTCAAGTAGGTGTTGCCTGGTTTGAGAGTTCCCCTGCCAAAAGAAAAACACAGAAGTGATGCTCAATGTTCTACACAAATGAGGGAGAAAAGAAAACTTGGCTATGGGCAGTAAGGGAGATGAGCTGAGGGGTGCTGTGAGAGCTGGGGCTTTGACTACTGCTGTTAGAATTTTTTGAACCTTTTTTTATAGATTTGCTGAAGTTCCTGTGCCTTTCAGGATGAAAAAACACTTATCAGTTAGCACAGCCTTTGTCAGTATTGCCGTGACTTATTTTATGCATTACCATTGAAAAATAAGATCTTCAAATAACTTCAAGTCAAAAAGTTCTCTCAGTATTTCTGGTTGCTCTCAACCATGAAGGAAATTGAAAATTATAGTTTACATTTGTGCCTTCTGTGCTATCACTGTTCACTCTAACAGAACACACACCCCAATGTGACATTAACATTGAAATTATCTGTGGGTTTATTACTGCATGGTATTTATAACCAAAGGTACTCCTGGTACAGACTGGTAATGGGGCTGTGTTCAAACATACAGGAGGTTGGTTTTGTAATATTGAATCTGGGTTGCTGACCAACATCTGTTTATTGAGATTTAAATTCACATTTACTGGAAAAGGCCAGGCTGAGTGGACAGGAATCCCATATTCCAGCACAGTTCATGGGCAAGCTGCAACTTTCTTATTCACATATTCCCCAGAAGAGGGGATAATCAGATGTACATCACTGAGCTCTTTGTCTTTTCAGAGATCACCAAATCATGTTTGAGTCCAGCAGCAGCCACAGAGCTCTTGTCCATTTTGCTGTGCTAACATCAGCCTCAGAAGACAAAAGAAAATACAGAGCAAGAGGGACCAGCAAACAGATTTTTACCACAGTCTGCAGCACAGGGAACTTCCAACAATTATCAGCTGCTTTTTTTACCAGTGTAAATCACAGACCACAGAGAACAAGACGACACGTGTAAAATAAAGCTGTGTATAAATTCCACGTGCTAAAAGCAATAGAGCCACCTTTCCAACAGCCACATTAAACTTACTTGTCAATGGCATATTTTTTTCTGAACCCATTAGTTCCAGTCAAGGCTATATCTATATTTCCCTTCATGGTTTCTGTTGCACATACTTTGACATGTATCTCTTTTCGCCAGCCTTGGAAAGCAAAATCAAATGGATTACAGTTGTAAGGAGATTTCTTTCCTAAAGGTTAAATTTCTTATATGTTTCAGTGTCTCTAAGAGAGAGAAAAGGACTGCACAAACACACTTATAAGCAAAAAACACCTGTGATAAACTGCAGTTCATTTATGAATTTTCCTATTTCCCCAGTTCTGTGGCTATTTCTACATTAATCACAACTAAAACTGCATTTCTTATTGCTCCCTGCCATTTTGACTTGATGAGCAGCTAAAATATCCTGAAGTGCTCCAGTTTTATAAATTTTGCCAATAAAAACAATGCAACATTTTAAAATTTGAAATTATGCACTTCCAGCAAAAAGTCCTCCTCGGTTCCAGGTTATATAATTTTTGAATCCATCGAGTAATAACCAAGTTTAACCCAAAGGTGAGCATCATTTGATCTGTTTTTACAATTATCCCAGCCTTCCAAAATAATCCTGGTACTGCATGTTCCTAACACCTAAAATCTAGATGTTTTACTGAGTGTAACTCATTAACTGCAGCAGCTCTGCAGAAGTGTAAGGTCCTTTTTCACACATAATTCATTGCCACTTTAGAATACACCACAAAATGAGCACTTACGAGCATATGGAGGGGAGGACCCTGTGTTTAAATAAACTTTTTGATGTTCTTTTTCAGTTTTACGTAGAAACTTATCAGCATAATGACCCATCAGCGGGCATCCTTCTTCTGGACATGGAAAGCAGTCTCCCTGGGGGAAATATAAAAATGTGCCTTATAAGATATAATCTATTTTAATCTCACTTTTTAAATTTTAGGAAATTAGGATATTTCAGCTTTTTCCCTTTTGTTTTTTTTGGTTTTTTTTTGGTTTGGATTTTTTTAGGTTTTTGCTTCTCAGTTCAGATGACATCTTCAGTAGTTATCAAAGTGGCTGAAAAAGGAGTTCAGGTGGTCAGTTATCTTATTTCCTCTTGTTGAAGATCAGAGAGAAACAGGTTGGAAATATGACCTAATTCCTTATGGTCTTGCAGGGACCATAAATAAATACCATAAAGAGTGTTGTGCCTTGCTACCTGGTCTGTAAAATCCAGGTAATATATTAATCTTTTATAGGGTCTGCTGGAAGGTTTTCTGCTGGTTATAGGATGGTTAACTATGCTTCCAAGGGGGTCTGGATGAATATCTCACTCATATGGTAAAAATATTTATGTTTAGGAATACTGGAATTTAGGAATTTAGGGAGGTTGGGCTTTCCTGTCGCACTATGACATGAAATAACTCACACACTCACACTAGATGCAAAAGAGGGAAGAAAAGAGGAAATTTATTTCTGACTCTGCAATATACAGAATTCTAAAAGTAACAGTGGATTGGAGGATGAAATTGCCACCTCTCCAACCACACTGGTCAAACCAACAGTCCATCAATTCTTTCCTCCTACAAAGGAGAGTGCAAGACAATCATTGTTTATATGAACAGTGTGTGAGAACTCCAATAGAAATACATAAACATCCGAAGGCATAAAAATATTTTAGAAGCACTTTGAAACTTTTAAAATAACAAAACAACACTTTCCATTTGGGATTTGTTCTGTCAGCCCTTTATCCTTTATTCCCATGCAGAGCCTTAATGAATTTAATCTATCTACACAGATCAGACCTTGACATCCATTAAAAAAAGGTAAAAAAAAAGATAAGCATGAAAGCAGATTAATTGCAGTGGGAAAAAATAACTCTGCTGTGTTTAGGTAGTTCAGTTTTGATATGTGGGAGATTCTGCTCAAACTGGTATTAATGGACCTTCAGCTATTTATGTATTTGATGAAAAAAGCCTACATGATCATCATCACTTCTCTATTGTGAAATTGCTTGGGTTTGGGGACGGTCTGAGTGAAGGTGGTCAGTGGCTCTGAATGTGCCCATATCCCCTGAGCCCAAGTGCAGAACTTGTCCCAGAAATTATTAAAAGAAGAAGGGCAGGGCTATAGGGCCTCAGATGAGTCCAGACCTGGTACTTACCAACACAAACTGTCGGTACGTGTCACACTGATACCCCACAAATCCATCTGGAGTGATGATGCTCTCAGCATAATACCTGAGACTTCTTTTATGTCCACATCCAAAAGATCCATATGCTGGGCGGAAAAAAAAAAAACAACCCAACAAAAAACCCAACATGTAAAAAGTGATTAAAGCAATACATTAACATAAAGTCCATGTTAAAGAAACATTCTGGGGTCTCTTTTCCTTAAAAACACTTGCATATTTAGTGATGTCTCAGGTAAAATAAATAGCAATGATTAAAAGACATTTAAATTGTGAATTATTTGGTTTTGTAGTAAGACTGTGTACTTATGCCTATATATATTATTTTCTGTTGGAAATAGGTAGTTTTTAACAGAGGTGGAGATGCACAAGGTGAAACAAGAAGCATTTGGGAGTATTTTCCTTTGATATTTTAAAGATTAGAATATTTCATAGCTACGGTTTTTGTAAAGCATACAGTAGTTACAATGAAGTACTTTTCCTTTTCTCACAGTTATCACAACATGGTATTCTGTAAAATCAGTTTCCACTAATTTCTAGAATTAAAGGTAATTTTAGCAATTATTATAAATTCTGTGGCTATTGGTGTTTTTAAGCACTAGGAAATCTGCAGTCATTTGATAGCAATTCTGTGAAATCCTCTGAAAAGCAGAATATTTGGCAGTGTGTCCTTGATTTTTTCAGAACTCTTTGAAGCAAATACTTTTTCCCATCAGACTGAAATTTAAAGGCAGCCAGTAAGGAAAGAAGAAAGTGCTATTTGGGTTATATTTACATGTCCCTTAGAGCAAATGTTGTCTTCCTTGATTCTGAGGTCTCTCCTGTATCAAAAATCCATATACTAAAGTAAGGTTGTTTGTATAAAAACGGGCTTTATTCCACTTCAGCATGTGGTGGGGACTCACAAACCACAGGGGAGAATCTGGGAGGCACTGAAGTAGTTGCAAGCTAGCACAGGTTGTAGTGAAATGAAAATTTCCCTTAATGGCAATATTTATGCATCTTAAAGATAGACCAGCTGGTGTTGACCAGTTGACACATTGTTCTTTCCATAAGGAAAGAAAAGAAACCCCACATTAAAATCTCTCTGAAAAGTACTTGTTGGCTGTTTTTCTTGGAAATAATCTGCATCATCAAGGCTTCCTGAGTATGTTTTCTTAGTAGCTCCTTCTTTAATTCAGAAGGGTTTGTGCTTTTAAACCCTCAGCTCTTACAGCTGGCTCAATTTATGTTAGTGGCAAATGCACTTAACACCTATAGTCTTTCTACTGCATCAAAAAACTATAGGAAAAAAGTCACTAAATATTATTTCTAAAGCACTTCATGCATAAAACCACTACAGAAATGTAAACTTTAGCAAACAATAGAAAGGTTACCAAAGTAAGGTTTAACCCAGAGGAGGGAGTTAAGGCTGTCTCTATTTTTAAGAGCTGCTTGAACAACCAACTCCATATGCTTGTGTTCAATAGAGATGAGTTTCTCCTTCAAGACAAAACATTGCAAAGAGCCTTGTGAAATGTCTCTGAATTTTTTTTTTTATTTAATTTAAATACAGACATTTTTATGTATTCAAATTGGAAAGTGTTATTGTTCCAAGTGACTTTGGCACAGCCAGCTTTCAGTTCTCTTTGTTACTTAGTTCCCAACCAGTTGTAAGGGAGAGCATTTTTGAAAGCAAATTATTTAACTAGTGGTAGGGATTTCAAACCATTTAGCTGTGAATAACAGATGTTCTCATTTCTGTAGGTTAGGATGAGAAGACAGGACTTTGTGGATCCATTGTAGTGGATCCCGGGGTAATTCTGATTAACTGCCAACTTCCTTTGAAGAACTACTAATGATCTGTCATTTTATAATCTTTTATATTTCTGACCTTGGGCTGTTCCCTTTGAAGAGACTAAAGCTTGATGGCATGCATGAATCCCACTAATATTGGGAGTAATATCTTCCTAGGGAGAAGGAGAGCTCAGATTTTAAAATACTCATTTTTGGATTATCCATGAATGAAATTTTACTGGTCCTTCATGTGAAGAATTCCCACTGAGGTCAGCCTCTCAGCACAGTGACAGGCTCTTAGAAAACTTGTGATGCACAATTTTGCATGCTTTAACTGAAGTTTTCATCTAGAAAATTTTCATCTAGAATTTGTTTAGTACAAAAGAAAATTGGAGGGTATTTCAGAGACAGCTTTAAATGTTCCATTTATAAGCATTGTCTCCTTATTCCAAATCTGAGCTATATATAGGTCCTACCTTATCCTAGCCTTTGTTTCTGACTTATAGTGAGGTATTGTTGTAACTTATAATGAGGTATTCTTTAAAATATATTTACCTGTCATCAGGTCATTGATATCCCGGGTTGCAGGAGGTACACGAAGCTGGCTGCATCCTGGCATCCTCTTCCCACCATTTGGGTAAAAATCCAGGTGGCCACAAGTCTGAAGCATCCCTGGAGCTGAAATGCACAATGGATCCTGGCAGATCACTCCTAGGTGTTCTGTAGCCAACCTGTGTGCCAGTGGCAGCCTTTAAATGAAAACTTACCAAAGTCAAAGAAAAGATGACCAGCATGAGTATGAATTATATCAACAAATTTTGCATCTGAAGGATCCAGCCTAACCATTGTGGGAGTGTACTGGAAAAGGGGCCCAGCTGGATCCAAACCTAAATGAATGGAGATATATCTGATTGAGTAAATAATCCTATATATATATCACCACATACAGGTTATGTATGCTACATATGTGATTACATTTCTGCCTTTACATCAAAAAAAAAAATCCATTTTGTGGTCCACAGCTAGAAAAACAGGCAAGGTATTAATAGAAATTTGACAGAAGGTATTGCAGCACAGTAAAATGCTGATGTCTGCTTAGTTTACTTTTGGGAACAACGATATAAGAAGAGATTTGGTTTATTGGGGTTTTTTTTCATTATTTTATTGAAAAATATGAAATCTTCATATGTTTCTCTGAGCACGTAGATTTATTTATGAATTTTTATTTGGCAAGAAGACTATTTTTATTTCCAGAATATCTTGGTTGAAAATGGTATCTCTTCACTTCAATGTCAGTGAGGTCTCTTTGGAGATAAAGAAACACAGCTCCGACCCCAGTTTCCCCGAGTTGTTCGTGTGACTGCTCACAGTGAGCATGCCTTAGCAATGTCTATGCAGAGAAAAGAACTGGCTGGGGGAGAAGGAAAGCATAAAATAGTGGGTTTTTAAAAGAAATCAGTGTCTGACTGTGTCATGCCTTGGGTGCCACCATGCTGGCTGGACACTGTTAGTTATGACAAACCAGCACATTGCATTCTGTATTGTGTTTATAAAGCAGCAATGATTCTTCAGTTCTCTTAAGTTGTGTGAAAATGTCAAGTTTTATCAGCTGAAATAGCTGAAGTACCTGTTATTCTTCCAATGCCAGGCTTCCTCCTCCCTGCCTCCCCTGCAACGTGTGCTCCAAGGCTGTGGCCGATGAAATGGATGTTGGCAGGAGAGTAGCCGTATTCTTTCTGTGAAGGTTTATGGAAAGGAGAAAAAAACAGTGTGGGTATACACTGCAGCATGTCCCCATGAGTGCTAGGACATGGCCAGGTCACTGGGCAGTGGAGATGAGTGTCCTGGTGGGAAGTCACAGTTCTGGGTGATGGGATCTCTACCTAAAGAGAAGCAATTCCCCAGTCATCCCTCCCCTCTTTATTTTCAGGGTGTTCATGGCTATTTGCCATCTTATCCCACTACACTAAATCTAGGGGATTTAATTTTTCATTTCAGATTTTCAAACCTGTTAAACTGCTGAAAAGTCATGTTAGTTTTTCAAAATCAATTATGACACTAAAGCAGGTATTTTCATTTGTGCGGGATTAAAGCCCTTCGATAACATTTGCACCTGCTTTACTGGGTATTTCTTGTTCTTCCTGGCTCTATTGAATTAAATCTAAAGGTGCTACTTTGGCCACCACCTTTTATGTGGACTGTGCACATTGCAGGGATATTTTTTTACCTCGAGGAAGTTCACCAGGTACTCCAGCTCGGCCCCCACAATGCGGACGTTGTTGACGGCATCCGTGTACAGACCACTGGAGCCGTCCCTCCAGTCTGTCAAAATGCAGTTCACATCTTCAGAGTGAAACATGAACTGGCAGAGAACAGGAAAAGAGCAGAGAAGGGAACAGGCATTAATTACAATTGTAGCAGGGCATATGTAAACTGTATTTTGTTTTGTTTGTGTGACTGGTGATGACACATCTCTAGGAATTCCTACTGATGCTCAAGATCAACACAAGGAGGCAGAGTGGAACCAGAGATTAGAGGACACTCACAAGCTTCCTTCAGCTTTTTTTTCCATTCCAAATGCCTTGGTTGGCTCTAAGGTACCAACTTCTCTTAATTACAGTACCCTGTTACCAAAACAGGTCTAAGCTCTATTATTCAATTTTGGTTTTTTTTTTGCTTGCATCATCTAAAAGAATTCTCAAATTTGTGCTTGAATTGTTCAGCCCTGAAGTTCACACATTATAACCAAAATATTCTATTTAGGCACTTCTGCCAACAGAACTGTCTGATTTTGTATTTTATTCTGAAACAATTTCATTTTTGAAGTGTGCTAGAGTGGAATGAAACCAATCTGCAGAACAAAGCCTTTTGGTTTTATTAGATCAAATGTGCCACTCAAACTGACACGTTTATTGTGACCTTTTGCTGAGGTGAGAAAACTCACTCTTTCCCCCCACCTTTATTATTGGCAAGGAATTGAAAAATCAATTTATTATAGCTTTCCCTGTGGAGGTGAACGCAGCAAAAGGGTATTAAGCAGAAAGCTGAAGTGCACTGTACTCATAGCCAGGAACAAGACAGTGGTTGTGTGGGACCAGGCTTCGTTCTGACTTTTGTGCTCCTCACATATCCCCTGAATTAACGAGAAAACAGAGGTGTAAATTTTACATGGGAATTTTAATTCAGATGTGGATATTTAGACTTTCAAACACAAGCAACATGATGGTTAAACACTAGTAGTACCCACCCTACATATGCTTCTTATCCAGGGGAGATCTGCTCCGGCAAGGTGGCCGTGTATAATGAAACGAGTTTTCCTGTGTGCCCGGAAATTCGAAGCTTTTATAGTTGAAGGATTTGTAGCTGAAATTCTCTGTGCCAAAAGAACCAAACAACCAACAAACACAACAAGGACGTGACTATTCCATCCCACTGTACATTTTGATAAAGGGCAGAGTGCCCCAATGGTTAAGGCATAGTTCTAGACCTAGAAGAAATGGGTCTTATTTCTCATTCCTAAACTGCCTTTTGAGTTTCAATTAATCAATTAATCACTTCAACAAATGCTTCACTTCCTCTGGTTGACTGAACTAATGATACTGGCATCTTCTGCACAATGCTTTGTGATATACTGGTACAACATGCCATGCAAGTACAAGATTTTATCAAACATGGCAAAGAAATGCAAAGATAGCATCTTCTGGAAGGTATGTGGTTGACTTTGAAACTATACCTATTTTTCTTTCCTTTTTCCTTTGAAGATAAGACCTTAATTGCTTCATTTATATTTTATGGGAAAGACCACCAGGCTTATAAATTCAGAGGCTGTAGGTATTTTGGTGTGTATTGAGAAAGAAGACATTATTTTCTTTTAAAGAAATTCCGAGTACTAAGTCTTACGTATTTTTTGTTATGGTTTTGTTGACTTAAAAGGGGGATGTCATGCACTAATTAGCAAACATCTCACCTTCAGTGAAAGACTGATATGTTAAAACCTCATAGACTCTCTCAGCTGGAGGAGTTGGACTTGTTCTGAAGTGACTTAATAAACACCTCCACTGATTGTGACTGCCATTTATATAAAACCCTTTAATTCTGGAGCCTTTTACGTGCAATAACTTGTGTTAGAGGGCTGTGATTAATATGTTGTAAATATACCTGGCTCCTCAGGGAGCTGAAATGAGGAAAAAGGAAAAAAGATGGAAGAAAATTATCATGTGTCTAATATAGAATTGGAGGTTCTCCCAGCAGTCATGTGAGCAAAATATGTGAGAAAAGAAACTGTCCCTACAATTTATTGAATGTATTGTACACTGTCAGTATTTAAAAACAAAGCATTTTCTTACTTGGTATTTCACCATGTTATCTCTGGTATAAAGAAGGAAATTTGTGTTCACAGCATCTGGAGAGCTGGGCAAGCCTGCCAGTTGTCTCCCAGGGATCCCAGCCCATGGGGGGCTGTCTGAAAAGCATCCAAGTCTCTTGTAGCAAACTTCCCTTCCTGGGGTGCACAAAGAACAAGATATTCATGTTCTGGACATGTGACAGATTCTGTACCTGAAGCTGTCAGGAGAGGGTTTACACCAGGAAAGCCAAACAAGCCTGATTTGGATTAGAATGGCACTTCTGAGCATTTTCCATTAAGGGGCTCAGTTGTGCTTGGGTGTTTGCAGCAAGGACTTGAACTTCAGGAGTGCCTCCTGCTGCAAACAGAGCCTGGAGCTCAGCCTGGTGAGCTCAGGATCTGTTTGCTTGAACATATTGTTAGCACAGCCCTTGGAAGAAGACAATAAAATCTTGATCCAGGGAAGAAATCAGCTTTTGCTGTCAGCACAGAGTAGTCCTTTAAATCAGCCCTAAACTCCAGGGATTATCTAAATTGTTATTTCTTGTGCAACAGCTCATAAGGGAGCAAAAAGAAACCAAAACATTAAAATAAACACTTCTGGTTGCTCCACAACGGGCATTAAACATCTCCCTTATTTTTTTCATCACCATAAGATTTTAATGGAAGCGATAAAGTGGAATTTGAGTGGAAGCTTAGAGCAAAGCACAGCCTCAGGATGTGTGGCCTGTGCCTGAAGGACCAGTTTCACAATTTCTATTGTGCCTTTAATACAGTAATGCTGCAAATATGACATGCAGGTGTTGCCATTAATTGTCATCATTCCACACTGTTATAGCACAAGAGTTGTGAAATCCCAAGAAATTTTTATTGCTATTAAAAAGTCCATACTTTTCTGTCATTACAGAGGTATTTTGGTCCAAGACTATGTTCTTGTTCCCTGCATAGCACATAGCACATAGTAGGTGCCAAGGCTCTCATTATCAGGGTTATAGCTACCATGAGTGAGTTGAGGGTAGGAAATGTTCTGGAAGAATTTCAGTATCAATTTGCATATAAAAAATACCTTTCTGATTCCCATTCTGTTTACTAGCTGCAAAAACCTTTACAGAATTAAAAAGTAATGAATTAAATGTGGGAAAGACATGACATGACTCAGTGGTTCCTAATGAAGAATTATGTTAAACCCATCCCAATGAACAGGTTTTTTCTAGAATACAGATATCCTAGTATAAGCTGCACATAAGTTTTACTCTTTATAGACCTCATTCATTATATGTCTCACCTCTGGCTGCATTGAAAAGAAGAAGAGTAGTGATCCATACTGCAAGCATCTGAAGTGCATAAGAACACAATTCAAACATAATTGAAATTAGAATCTGGAATTTCACCTAAGGATTCCCTTAACCCATTAAAACCCCTCGAAACTCAGTCCTTCAATCATTTACTGAGTTAGATCCAAAAAAAGCAGCTCTTCCTCAAAAATAGTAAGGTTTTGAAAAATAGCTTTGAGATTATTTCTGTTTGCCATGGAGATTTTGCATGATCAGGATATCCTTTAGGAATCCTTAAAGATCATCTCCTGTCCTTGATAAACAGAAACTTTTTTTTCCTCTGTAGAGCTGCAGTTTATAGGCATGCAAATTAAATTCTTACAGGATTTGCATCAACACATTACTGCCTGAAATTTATCCTAGGATTTCGTAGAAAAGGTACTCACAGAACTGCCATCAATGATTGCATTAAAAAAAAAAATGAATTTGTGCTTATAAATCATACAGATGGTCTAGAAAACTCATTTTGATCACTGCTATCAGCTATGCATGTTTATCAGCCCTTATCTGCCTGATCACTTAATCACCAGCTGATAGGCAAGCACAGGGGTAAATGGAACCCATCATTTACTCCAATGTGGAGCGGGGAAAGTACAGTCTCACTACTACCATGAGCATATCTTCAAAGGAAAATAGATAATTATTAAAAAAATCCAATGTCATGCCCAGATCATCCAACCAGTGTTGCAGAGGCAGAGCCCTGCATCCCCTGAAATCCATAACACACTGTTAGGAGCAAAGAGTTCATCCCTGTGAAACCAAGTGCAGGTTCAAGAGCGTCCTGCCTCCATCTCCTCTCCTCCAGCCACTCACCACACACCTTACCCCTCATCACCATGATCCTTATTTCAGTTCCTTAGATGCTCTTGGCTCCAGTGCATCCCATTTTACCTTGGCAAGGCTCAGAGCAAGTTCTCAGGGTCAACCTCTCAGTTGCTCGCGGCAAACCTTGCAGAAGCTGTTTGAGGAGCCTGGAGAGAAGCAGGAGAGCTCTGTGCCTGCCCTCCAAGGGCACGTGGCAGAGGGATGCTCACCCTCTGCTGCTCCACAACGCTTGGATTCCCAGTTGCATCTGTGGCTGTGTTGGGTAATGCCAAAAGAGATCTCCCTCCGTCATTCTCCATCGGAGATAACACCGACCAGGTCCGACCAGTTGCTGTGTGACTCCACCCACTTAATGCAAAGTTTCAAACAGGCTGTCACTGTCCTCCATTGGTTATTATTTTTCAAGCTAAAAATTGCTGGGAAGTGTGATGTAAACACTGAATAAACACAGGGCCTTTCAGGATCAGCGGGGCCGCTCACCTTGGTGCGATGCTGAGTTGAGATCGTGACTTGGGCAGACTCCCCATCCTTTGCATTCCACCCCTCAGTTTTGATAGCAAAACTAATCTTCCTGGAACTGATCCCTGTCCTTAATAACTTACAATCTTAGCAAAATTTTCAAATTTGTGTTTGATATCTAAGTCTACCTTTGCAGCATGAAGACACACACAAAGTGTTTTAGGATGAGCTTGCATGTGTTTTTCAGGTTCAAACTGTCACTTGAGAAAATACAGAAAGAAGTATGAAAAAATATAAAAAAATTAAATGGCTTAGTCTGTCACTTTGTTGTTTGTTCATCTTGTAGATCTCTTATCTCTAATTTTGCTACCAGATGAATTACCTGACTTTTCTTTGAAAAGGTGACAGAAATGCTTTTAAAGAGAGGATAATAGATCCTGGGGCAGATTGTCACCACATTCAATCACTATGAATCTTCATAATTAAATTGTATAAATTGGAGTAATTTTATTTTTTAGTGTTTTGATAATGATGTCATTTCACATAGTGCTATATTGTTGTTATACTATTATATTCACATTTCTGATCAGACTTTCCTAGAAATCTTTCTTCCTGCAGGTGTATGTGGGGTTTCTCCTACCTAAATGATTCTATAATTCTGTGTAGCACAAATGTGAAACCTGCATCTCCACATTTTAAAGTTAAACCCTTTAAGTAAAAGGGTGACTACTGACACCTCCTAAGACAGGGGTGTACAGGAAGGGGAGACTCCCTTTTGGTATAATCCTTTCCACTGACTGATGAGTTATTGCATATCTAGCACACACAAATATGAACTGGGTTAAAGTGATTCTTACAAATGCTAGGTACAAAAGCATTTTCAACATTTTCCTTTTTAGTTTTTTTTTTTTGTTTTTTTTTTTAAATAAAGCTAGCCTTGAAAGATTGATTACTTTAGCTGTATATTATAGAAGCAAATACATGTTCCAACTCTGTGTCCCTAATAGAATTTTAAGAATCAAGGCTAGTATGGAGTTCAGGAAGTACTTATTCATCCTTTCAAGACTAAGTTAGTCCAGTAAAGTTTTAAATTAGTCATATCAAAATTGAGTTCTCCTCTGCTCACATAATTAAAGTCTGTTGCTGGGCTGCAAATTGATCAGTTAACCTGTTACCCACAGAAGTTAAGTAAACAAAAATGAAGAAGAGTTTAAAAGACACACACACACACAAAAATCTGCTTCCAAGTTAGGTCATACTGGACAAAACTGGCTTCAGGGACAGTTAACAGAACTCAGAACTGTGATGTGTGGTATACTCAGATCTCTGATAAAGCACCACATTTGAAAGTACTTGATGATTGTTTTTTGTATCATTAAAAATTCATAGACAAAGAAAGGCTGATTCATTAGAATTTAAGGGCCTCACAGAAAATTAATATCCAATTTTACCTTCTGATTTAATTCTATTGTATATCATATCAGACCAAACCATCATTTCATTCCATCCTCACAATTTCTTTACATTTCAGCAGGAATGTTAACTGAACAGACAGGTCATTCAAACTTTTAAATTAATCTAGTTGATTTAATAAATTATTATTGAATAATTTGAATTAATAAGTTTTTTCCTATGCAGCATATTTTGGTGCCTGTGTTCTCAGGGAGCTCAAGGAATGTGAATAGCTCATTACATTAAGAGGCCTTTCTCAAACCTGGTATTATAGTCCCAAACCACACCTGAACCCTCTGCTGCAACATGGATTCAACTGCAACCTAGTGGTGCAGATTTCAGATCACTTACAAGATTCAGTGACTTTGCCAAGTTAAAATTAAAATAACAAAATATTAAAGGGTTTTAGATTTTACCTAAGATGAGGACATTGCTGTCTCACATCCTAGGTGTAAATGTGTGCTATGCAATTTTTACAGATCAATTCCAGCCAACATTGAGCGTCAAATGAAGTTTAACTTACCCAGGCTTTTCTCAGAACACATGAAGTGATTATTTAGGGATGTTCTTGCTGCCTTTCAGCAGCCAGTGAGACACCACAGTTCTCCCCCAGTGTTTAAGAAAAGGTTACTGGGAGAGCAAGGTATCCTCATACATACAACAAATTAGTCGGAGGATTTACTCCAGCTGACAGGCATGAAATGGGTTTTCTCTGCTGGTTTACTAATACCAGGAAAGCTCATAGTTCAGCAGCATTGTCAGATGTCAGCACTTCTCTGTTGGCTTCTAGAAATCTTTGCACTTTAATGGGGTTAACTGCTTCAGGATTATCTGGGACCTGGGTAAGAGGCAGCAAGCAACAAAATTCTGCCCCTCCATCCCTCAGAAGTGCCTGAGGGTTTCTCATCCATGAGCTTGTCCAAGCTGTCCCTGAGCTCCTGCACAGCTCCAGCACACCCAGCATCCTGTATCGAGCACTTTAATTGTGCAGCTGTGAGGAGAATCATCTCCTTTCCTTTCTCTTCAGCTGTGCACTGCCAGCTTCAGTTCATGCCCCCTGTCACTAGGGCGGAAGGACATGAACGAGGCATTTCATGTTTGCCTTCTCCACGATCCTCTTCTTTTTATAGATGACATTCATACCTTCATCTCTGTTCTTGGCCGACTTCTTGTATTTAATACCTTCTCTTATATGCCAACATGGGAAAATGGTTGCTTATTCCATCAGGCTGGACATTAGGATTTTTCTCTCCATTACCAAAACCAGCAAGGAAAATTCCTTCTGTCCTGAAGTTTTATCAATGATTGTGTTTTCATGAGGGATGAAGTGGCTAAATGTGGAAGAAGGTTCTTTCTGCAGCTAAAATGCTGCTTTGTGCCTTCTCTCCTCAAATCTCTTTTCTTTAGCAATATCTGTAATCATCCTACACGATGAGATACAGTGCATATAATATCCTACAATTAAAAAATGGCCTAATAGGGATAATTCAGGCAAGTTATTGTTCAGGGCTGGTTATTTTATTTATTTTTTTCTTTTATCTCAATTTTAATTGCACCACTGTCAAGTCTTATATCTAGAGAATAAATTTTCTGGGCAGGAACCTGCCTATCTATGCACATTGCAGGATGTATAATTCAGTTTTGGGTGTATGAATAATGTGTGAATATTATAGATATCAATAGTAATGTAAAGGTCACCTTTTCCAACATTTCAATTGTAACAAATTTGAATGAAAAAAATCCTAAATACCAGAAAGTATTTTGCTATTCATTCCAGTCTGCTTGGCTGCTGAAAAAGATATGAAGGGATTGTTATTCTTTATATTTGCTGTGCCTTTCTTATGATCCAGCTTCTAATACTTTACTGATGCCAATCCCGATGGGATGACTCATAGAATAAAATACTTCTTAGCTAAAGAAAGAGTACCAAATGTTAAGTTCCATTTACTTTGTATTTTAATACCATCTAAACTAACAGTTGTTGCATGACTTATTTGTAACTTTAATGTAAGCCCAAGTCTTTTTCTGATTTACATGGAGTAAGATCTGAAGTCTGTATCTTAATAAAGAAAATATATTTATTCCTGCAGTTATGCCTTAGTTTTCATCAAAGAGAATTCCAGGTGAATTAGTTGGTCATCATTTTCTGTGATAAGACACTCTGGTGCTCAGTGCAGATTCTGAGTGCAATATTGAATTAAAAAGTACAAAATAGGAACCTAAGGAATATTATATTAGCAGAAAATTTTAAATCTCCTGCAGCA